AAGTGGAGATAGACAACCTTCCAGAAAAAGTATTGAGAATAATGATAGTGAAGATGATTCAGGACCTCGGAAAAAGAATGGAGGCAAAGATCGAGATGATGCAAGAAACGTTTAACAAAGACCTAGAAGAATTAAAGAACAAACACCTAGACGAATTAAAGAACAAACAAACAGAGATGAACAATACAGTAACTGAAATGAAAAATACACTAGAAGGAATCAATAGCAGAATAACTGAGGCAGAAGAACGGATAAGTGACCTGGAAGACAGAATGGTGGAATTCACTGCTGTGGAAGAGAATAAAGAAAAAAGAATGAAAAGAAATGAAGACAGCCTAAGAGACCTCTGGGACAACATTAAATGCAACAACATTCACATTATAGGGTCCCAGAAGGAGGAGAGAGAAAGGACCTGAGGAAATATTTGAAGAGATTATAGTCAAAAACTTCCTTAATATGGGAAAGGACATAGCTACCTAAACCCAGGAAGTGCAGACAGTCCCATACAGGATAAACCAAAGGAGAAACACACCGAGACACATAGTAATCAAATTGGAAAAAATTAAAGACAAACAAAAATTACTGAAAGCATCAAGGGAAAAAAGACAAATAACATACAAGGGAACTCCCATAAGGTTAACAGCTGATTTCTCAGCAGAAACTCTACAAACCAGAAGGGAGTGGCACGATATATTTAAAGTGATGAAAGGGAAGAACCTACAACCAAGGTTACTCTAACCGGCAAGGATCTCATTCAGATTCGATGGAGAAATCAAAAGCTTTACAGACAAGCAAAAGCTAAGAGAATTCAGCACCACCAAACCAGCTCTACAACAAATGCTAAAGGAACTTCTCTAAGTGGGAAACACAAAAGAAGTAAAGAACCTACAATAACAAACACAAAACAATTAAGAAAATGGTAATAGGAACATACATATCGATAATTACCTTAAATGTGAATCGATTAAATGCTCCAACCAAAAGACGCAAGCTCGCTGAATGGATACAAAAACAATTCCCATTTATATGCTGTCTCCAAGAGACCCACTTCATACCTAGGGACACATACAGGCTTAAAGTGAGGGGATGGAAAAAGATATTCCCTGCAAATGGAAATCAAAACAAAGCTGGAGTAGCAATACTCATACCAGATAAAATAGACTTTAAAATAAAGAATGTTACAAGAGACAAGGAAGGACACTATATAATGATCAAGGGATCAATCCAAGAAGAAGCTATAACAATTATAAACATATATGCACCCAACACAGGAGCACCTCAATACATAAGGCAACTGCTAACAGTTATAGAAGAGGAAATTGACAGTAACACAATAATAGGGGGGGACTTTAACACCTCACTTACACCAGTGGACAAATCATCCAAACAGAAAATTAATAAGGAAACACAAGCTTTAAATGACACAACAGACTAGATAGATTTAATTGATTTTTATAGGACATTCCATCCAAAAACAGCAGATTACACATTCTTCTCAAGTGCGCACAGAACATCGTCCAGGATAGATCACATCTTGGGTCACAAATCAAGCCTCAGTAAATTTAAGAAAACTGAAATCATATAAAGTATCTTTTCTGACCACAATGCTATGAGATTAGAAATCAATTATAGGGAAAAAAACATAAACAACACAAAAACATGGAGGCTAAACAATACGTTACTAAATAACCAAGAGATTACTGAAGAAATCTAAGAGGAAATCAAAAAGTACCTAGAGACAAATGACAATGAAAACACGACGATCCAAAACCTATGGGATACAGCAAAAGCAGTTGTAAGAGGGAAGTTTATAGCAATACAAGCCTACCTCAAGAAACAAGAAAAGTCTCAAATAAACAATCTAACCTTACACCTAAAGGAACTGGAGAAAGAAGAACAAACAAAACCCAAAGTTAGTAGAAGGAAAGAAATCATAACGATCAGAGCAGAAATATATGAAATAGAAACAAAGAAAACAATAGCAAAGATCAATAAAACTAAAAGCTGCTTCTTTGAGAAGATAAACAAAATTGATAAACCATTAGTCAGGCTCATCAAGAAAAAAAGGAAGAGGACTCAAATCAATAGATTTAGAAGTGAAAAAGAAGAAGTAACAACTGACACTGCAGAAATACAAAGGATCTTGAGAGATTACTACAAGCAACTCTATGCCAATAAAATGGACACCCTGGAAGAAATGGACAAATCCTTAGAAAAGCACAACCTTCCGAGACTGAACCAGGAAGAAACAGAAAATATAAACAGACCAGTCACAAGCACTGAAATTGAGACTGTGATTAAAAATCTTCCAACAAACAAAAACCCAGGACCAGATGCTTCACAGGCGAATTCTATCAAACATTTAGAGAAGAGCTAACACCTGTCCTTTTCAAACTCTTCCAAAATATAGCAGAGGAACACTCCCAAACTTATTCTATGAGGCCACCATCACCCTGATACCAAAACCAGACAAAGATGTCACAAAGAAAGAAAACTACAGACCAATATCACTGATGAACACAGATGCAAAAATCCTCAACAAAATACTAGCAAACAAAACCCAACAACACATTAAAAGGATCATACACCACGATCAAGTGGAATTTACGCCAGGGATGCAAGGATTCTTCAATATACGCAAAATCAATGTGATACACCATATTAACAAATTGAAGAATAAAAACCATATGATCATCTCAATAGATGCAGAAAAAGGTTTTGACAAAATTCAACATCCATTTATAAAAACTCTCCAGAAGGTGGGCAGAGAGGGAACCTACCTCAATCAAAATAAAGGCCATATATGACCAACCCACAGCCAACATCATTCTCAATGGTGAAAAACTGAAAGCATTTCCTCTAAGATCAGGAACAAGACAAGGATGTCCACTCTCACCACTAGTATTCAACGCAGTTTTGGAAGTCCTAGCCACGGCAATCAGAGAAGAAAAAGAAATAAAAGGAATACAAATTGGAAAAGAAGAAGTAAAGCTGTCACTGTTTGCAGATGACATGATACTATACATAGAGAATCCTAAAGATACCACCAGAAAACTACTAGAGCTAATCAATGAATCTGGTAAAGTTGCAGGATACAAAATTAATGCACAGAAATCTCTTGCATTCCTATACACTATGATGAAAAATCTGAAAGAGAAATTAAGAAAACACTCCTGTTTACCACCGCAACAAAAAGAATAAAATTCCTAGGAATAAACCTACCTAAGGAGACAAAAGACCCGTATGCAGAAAACTGTAAGACATTGATGAAAGGAACTAAAGATGATACAAACAGATGGAGAGATATATCATACTCTTGGATTGGAGAATCAACATTATGAAAATGACTATACTACCCAAAACAATCTACAGATTCAATTAAATCCCTATCAGACTACCAATGGCATTTTTCACAGAACTAGAACAAAAAATTTCATAATTTGTATGGAAACACAAAAGACCCCAAATAGCCAAAGCAATCTTGAGAAAGAAAAATGGAGCTGGAGGAATCAGGCTCCCAGACTTCAGACTATACTACAAAGCTACAGTAATCAAGACAGTGTGGTACTGGCACAAAAACAGAAATATAGATTAATAGAATAGCATAGAAAGCCCAGAGATAAACACACACACATATGGTCAACTAATCTATGACAAAGGAGGCAAGGATACACAATGGAGAAAAGACAGTCTCTTCAATAAGTGGTGCTGGGAAAACTGGACAGCTACATGTAAAAGAATGAAATCAGAACACTCTCTAACACCATACACAAAAATAAACTCATAATGGATTAGAGACCTAAATGTAAGACCGGACACTATAAAACTCTTAGAGGAAAACATAGGAAGAACACTCTTTGACATAAATCACAGCAAGATCTTTTTTGAGCCACCTCCTAGGGTAATGGAAATCAAAACAAAAATAAACAAATTGGACCTAATGAAACTTCAAAGCAGTTGCACAGCAAAGGAAACCATAAGCAAGATAAAAAGACAACCCTCACAATGGGAGAAAATATTTGCAAATGAAGCAACTGACAAAGGATTAATCTCCAAAGTTTACAAGCAGCTCATGCAGCTCAATATTAAGAAAACAAACAACCCAATCCAAAAATGGGCGGAAGACCTAAATAGACATTTCTCCTAAGAAGACATTCAGATGGCAAAGAAGCACATCAAAAGCTGGTCAAGATCACTAATTATTAGAGAAAATGCAAATCAAAACTACAATGAGGTATCACCTCACACCAGTTAGAATGGGCATCATCAGAAAATCTACAAACAACATATGCTGGAGAGGGTGTGGGGAAAAGGGAACCCTCTTGCACTGTTGGTGGGAATGTAAATTGATACAGCCACTATGGAGAACAGTATGGAAGTTCCTTAAAAAACTAAAAATAGAATTACCATATGACCCACCAATCACACTCCTGGGCATATACCCACAGAAAACTATAATTCAAAGACACTTGTACCCCAATGTTCATTGCAGCACTATTTACAATAGCCAGGTCATGGAAGCAACCTAAATGCCCATGAACAGACAAATGGATAAAGAAAATGTGGTACATATACAGAATGGAATATTACTCAGCCATAAAAAGGTATGAAATTGGGTCATTTGTAGAGACATGGATCAATCTAGAGACTGTCATACAGAGTGAAGTAAGAAAGAGAAAAACAAATATTGTATATTAACGCATATATGTGGAACTTAGAAAAATGGTAGAAACGAACCGGTCTGCAGGGCAGAAATTGAGAGACAGATGTAGGGAACAAACGTATGGACACCAAGGAGGGAAAGCGGCACAAGGGTGGTGGTGGTGGTGTGATGAATTGGGAGATTGGGATTGACATATATACATTAATATGTATAAAATGGATAACTAGTGAGAACCTGCTCTTTTAGGAAATAAAATTCTGCTGTTTTATAAAATAAAATTCAAAAAAAAAGACAATTACCCAATAAATCATAAAATCTACTGTCAAGGGACACACACCTGGTTGAGAGGTATCAGTCCATCCCCTCTTGGCTCGTACACAATAATCCCATCTTGTATTGGGGTCCTTGACAAACTTTCCAATGTCTTTGAATAATGCACAAAAAGACATGTGGCTGGCTCGATAAACAGTGTAGTAGAGGAGGGCAGCCCTCCATAAAAAGGGGTCTTTTCTAAACAGGACACTGTGAATACTTGCCAGTCCTTCCTCTGTGGGATTGTTTGGCTTTAGGTCATGTTTTTTACGGCCAGTCCAACTGTTCCATGGCTGCTGAAGGTTGTTAATACCTCGAAAATAATGTGTGCCTATGGAGAAGAAAAGGCACATGAAAAGTAAGAAATGCCATTCTTATTTTAATTCTTCTCCCAAAAAAGATTCTACCAACAGTTCTAAAACGAAATTGATGTGTACCTACAAATCAAAAGAAAGTAGAAAATGATCTGACACTAATGCCCTTTGCTTTGAAGGAGTACACAGCCTTCAGAAGGATTACATGTCTCATTAGAAGAGGTATAACTTTTACAGCAATTTATTTTCTTTTTAAGAGTCGAATTATAGACTTGATATTTGAAAAGAATCTTAGAGATCACTTAATTCAATTCCCTCAGTTGAAGATGGGGGAACTGAAATCCAGAGGAGTTAAATGACTCTCCAAGCTTAATACAGCTATACGGTACCCTAAAAAATCTAATTTGAAATGAGACATTAATATCTTAGCTTTAGTTCAAGTGACACCTAACAATTTCATTACTTTTTGCCAAATATTACTAAGAAAAAATGCATTATAAACAAACAAGTCCTTGAAGTAATTTCTGCTACTACAACTGAGTAAATGGAGAAGGGTTGCCCCCTACCTATTTCATGCCTCAGCATTCCTTCCAGCCAATGCTCACGTGCGGTGCAAACATTGATGGTCAGTGTTGGACATCCATTTACTACTGTCATGGAAGCTCGGGAAAGCAGGTCCTCAGTGAGGTGAACTACAATCTAAAGAGCAAGAGTTAAAATATATATATATAAAAGACAAAACGTAGAAGGCAGGGGGTGAAAGTTTTCACAGAAAACAATGGACCCATAAATTAACACCTTTTTCTTTTGTTTACACCATCTTGAATCTCCCCGAAACCAAGAAGATGAAATGCAGACCCTTGGAATTTTGAGCCTTTGGGAACTCAAGAACCTTTACTGGATTGAAAGAAAAGTAGACAGCTGTGCAGAGGAAGACACAGAGAACTGAAATTGTGCCTCTGCAGTGCTCTCAAATATAGTCCCCTGGGCTGGAATAATGCAAAGGAAGGTACAGGAGCCAGAGTCCTGGTCACTGCTGGGCCAAAGCTTATTTTGAGAATGAACACTAGGAACTGGACATTAATAAGAGAAGTCACTGTGCCAAATCTCTTCATTAATAATTTTCATAAGCCAATTCACGTAATCCTACAAGCTATACAAAAATGGTAGTAAGAAAAATGGAAAAACAGAAAAAAACTGAACATTAACAATTCAATGCAATAAAAACTTAGACTTATATTTAGTAAGAAATCTGGGTGACTTATTTAATGAGTAAAATAGTGTTGGGAAAACAAAACCTGCAGAAAAAACAAACACGTGGCAGTGACTGAGAGTTAAAATGCTCAAATTGTCATGCTTACTCATGATTCATACCTCACCCATGCAGCCTTCTTTCATCATGTATTTCCTAACATGACTCCAGATTCGAGTTTTAGATAGCAGGCTACCACCGGTGGCCTGTTCAAATTTTTCATAGCTTCCATACTTTTGTAAAGTCAGTTCCATAATATTGATGGACTGTAAAAGAAACAGAGATAATGAAAGTAAACAGCCTTCTATTACTTCGACATGAGTAATGACCTAGTTATATTCTTATTTATCATGACCTGTTCTGTGCTTACCGATTTCCAAATCAAATTGCAGCTACGGTTAACATATTTTTCTAATCCTAAACAGCTTTCACTCATTTTCATATATTTTTACAAACACCTGTGTACATACTTATTTCTTAACACGGGATGAAGGCTCAAGCACTACACAACTGTCAACATCTAACAGGCTGAGAAGCTAAGGCAGAGTTCTCAGTTTCTCTTGGCTTCTCTAAGACCATCTGGTGGTTTTCTGGTGGTTTTTCAGGAGAACTCAGAAGGTATGTCTCCAGACTAATTACTAGAATATAATTACCATTTGGATAAAGAAAAAAATTCCCAATTTTTAAGCACACACAGAAGAATCAACCATTCTTTTGTGATGATCCTATAGAACCTGATGTTTTCCTGGGCTACTACTCCTTGGCAGAAACACATAATCTCAACATTACTAAAAACACTTTTATCTTTCATTCTTGGCAGGGTACTATCTAACTTTTCATTCTTCATAAATTTTCATATCAAAAGAATATGAAAGTTGAGATCTTTTTCTCTAAGCACAAATATACAAAAAGGAAGACTAAAAAAACTGGTAACAAATCACAGATCATCAGTATCTATGGGAAAGCCACAAAAAAATGAAAACATAAGGAAGGAAAATGCTATTCAAAGGTCTTTTGGGAGAAAGCTAGAAAATTCAAATGTATCTTATATGAATGGTGACAGAAGCTAGAAAATTCAGATACCTGATATTATATTAAGCCTATGCTTTCTATCTGTTGTCAGACTAGTAAAGAGATTAAAAGTACAAGCTCTAGAGTCAGACTACCTGAGCTGACATCCTGGCTCTGCCACCTTCTGGTTGTGTGGCTCTGGGCAAGTCATTAAACTTGTTACCAAGCCTCCTCATTAGTAAATGGGGATAACAACAATAATGTCTACGGCATGGTTTTGTTGAGAAAATTTAGCTAAACTTTGTAAAGCACAGTGTCAGACATAAGTAGTCAATACATGTCAAGTATTACATCATCATCATCAGTATGTTACCATTCTTTATAAATACCACTGTAGATGACATGCCCAACACAAAAACTACAGTAAAACTCATGTGCTACAAGTTATAAGTAAATATATATATCCCCACAGGAAAAATATATATTACTAATAAACTAGGAGTGAATCATAAAGTTATCATAACAAGAAATGGCTTCAACAAGTTTGCCTGGCTTGCATTCCCAAAGTTGCTATTAAAAGCCTTGATATTCAAAATGTGGTTGAAAAGCCGGCAGCATTGGCACTGGCATTGTTCTGGAAGCTGGCTTCAAATTTGGAATTTTGCCTGCCTCCAAGCTACATGCATACTGAATCAGAATCTGCATTTTAACAAGATTCCAGGTGATTCACCTGCACAGTAGAAAGCCAGAAGGATCTCAGAGAATGGGAACACAGCAAATACCCCAGAGGCTAATTTATTTATATGACAACTAGGATAATTAAAAGAACAAGTTAGCACATAATTAAAAGCCCATTTAGCAGATTAGCTAAGGTATTTGCATACACCAGTCTAATGGTCACTAGTCGTCAATATATCAGAGTTAGACGAATCTGAGAAATTTTGCCTTAATTCCATAAGAGACAGAAGTGGTACCTTCTATACTGAACTTATAATTAGACCTAAAAAAAGTTAAAGAAATTTTTTATTATAACTTGTGCGTATAGGTTTTTAAAAGTATGTACTTAACTTAGGATAAAACTAGCTTTTCTAGCATATGCTTACTCAGTAGGAAAATGTGGTTATCTGGTTACTATTTATTATAACAGTCTAGAGACTTTAGAAAAACTTAAATACAGGTGACCCTTGTTATCATCAATAAATGGTACTTAGTAGAAGGCTATTAAGTATTCACACTCATAATAAGTATTTGTTCATATTCATAACAGGGAACAAAGATTTGATTGAAAATTTACCCTGAAAAAGTACAAGATTAAAAAAAATTACCTTGGCAGTTTAACAACACTGAGGCAACCTTTATACTTATCAACTAATTATTAAATAATCAAAGAATGAATAAAAATAGTGGGAGTTTTTTTTGGAGGGGATGTAATTTTTCTGTCAAAATGATATGCAATAGCACATCATTTTCCATTGCATGACTTACATGGCACCATCATGGCAGCAATCCTTCATGAGAGCTACGTGGATGTTCCCAAAAGCTTATCTTAATATGTCATGTACAGTCATTCTTCACTGAAGTACCCATCCTGTTGTCATCTCTAGATATTTTTCTTTATTAGTTTTTCAACTGGTCCAACCTAGACAAATTTGTCAGTGACCACACAGATCTCCAGTATCCTTCACTGACTTCCCAATCCATCTGCATTAAATAGACCCCAGCACAGAGAGAGAGACAGTGGTTGGATAGGTGAACAAATTCAAGTTTTAAGAGAGAAGTCAGGAATGTTCAGTGGTTACTTCATCAGTGAACATTTTTGTGTTACAACAATTTCTGCTTCCTTATGCAACCTCTTGCAGGCCACGAAAATTTTTACAAGTATGATCTCAATTTGGGGGGAAAAAAGGCAATAAGCAATTTTAAAAAGGCACAAGGAAGCCTGGAAGGATATACCCAAAGGCTACATGATATCATGCTCATGTTTGAGAAGGGATAATGTGTTGCACTGATGTTTAATTATTTGCACTATACAGAAGTTTTCAAAATGGTTTACAATATGCAAAGGAAAAAGTCAGTTTTTCCAGCTTCACTGAGGTATGATTGACAAATAAAAATTGTATATATTTAGGTTCTACAATCAGGTGTTTAGGGTGTACAATGCGATGACTTAATATGGGTAAACACTATGAAATGATTACTGCAATCAAGTTAATTTACAAATCCATCACCTCATATAGTTACATTTCTTTAATGTGGTGGGAACATCTAAGATCTTAGCAAACTTCAAGTATACAACATACTATTATTACCTATAATCATCACGCTATATATTAGATACCCAGAACTTATTCAGTTTATAACTGAAAGTTGGTACCCTTTGACCCACATCTCCTTACAAGTTTTTGTTTGTTTTTTTACAGGAAAAAAGAGTCCACCCTCTCCCCCTAGAGCTCAGAGAATCAATATCTGTATCACTTTAAGAATCAAGCTTTCACACACCTCCGCATGGTTAACACTTTTAAGAGGCAATAAATTTTACGTCAGATCGCTCTTCTCCATTAATATCATCATTTAAGTTAATCAGAAAACTACATCTCCCAATATTACTTGGTGGGAGATTCAAACAAGCAGCAGCTGGATAATTTTTTTTTTTTTGCGGTATGCGGGCCTCTCTGTGGCCCGCTGCTGTGGCCTCTCCCGTTGCGGAGCACAGGCTCCGGACGCGCAGGCTCAACGGCCATGGCTCACGGACCCAGCTGCTCCGTGGCATGTGGGATCCTCCCTGACCGAGGCACGAACCCGTGTCCTCTGCATCGGCAGGCGGACTCTCAACCACTGCGCCACCAGGGAAGCCCGCAGCTTGATAATTTTACTCTAATCATCACTTTTTTTTTTTTTTTGGCTGTGCCTTGCAGCTTGCGGGATCCTAGTTCCCTGACCAGGGCTTGAAGCCGGGCCCTTGGCAGTGAAAGCCCAGAGGCCCAACAACTGACCTCCAGGGAATTCCCCAATCATCACTTTCAATTTGCCATCCAGCATATCCCTTTCTTATCTTCAAATAAACCTTAACCAATTTAACTTCCAAAAACGTTCAAGTATTAAAAGAAAAAAAGAAGTCCATTTCAAGTTAACTTAACCCAATTTAAAACATAAATCACATATCCAGTTAAAGCTCTTTCCCCTCCCCTAGGCAGAGCCTGGCCTGAGGCCTAAAGAACCTTCACTGGGAAAACAAGGCATAATCAGTGATTTGATTCCTTCTCATCTCTCCCCTATTTTCACAGCCTCTCTTTCCCTTCAGTATATTGACAGCTGGGAGGAAGGAACGAACAATTCCCATATAACTGGTTCAGCTGTGGTCCTCCTCCTTTGACTCTAATGCTGGGGCAGGCCTATTATTAGCAGGTGCCTCCACTGCACAGCTTACTGACTAGCCTCCTTCCCACAGAATCTATGCAAGAAGCTCCCCTGGAGTGGACAACTACCAAAACTATTTCTATGAAATTTAAAAGCACAAGAGGAATAACCTAAAGATTTAACTTAATCTAATTAGTGTATACCCATTGCATGAAATGAAATATATGCAGTCAGTTAAAATAATGCTGACAAAAAAGAAACGCTGACAGCTTTTAACAGCATGAAAAAATATAGACATGTAAACAAAAGTATGCTAACTCAACCATCAACATTAGGCATGGAACAAGGAAAACACACTAAAATGTATTTTCCTTTTTTTTTTTCTTGAAGTATCATTGATTTACAATGTTGTGTCAGTTTCTGGTATACAGCAAAGTGATTCAGTTACACATACATATCTATTTTTTTTCAGATTCTTTTCCCTTACATGTTATTACAAAATATTAAGTATAGTTCCCTGTGCTATACAGTATGTCCTTGTTAGTTATCTATTTTATACACAGCAGGGAAAACGCACTAAAATGTTAAAAGTCGTGACCTAGAGGTGGTGGAATTATAATAATTATTCTCTTCTCCATGCTCTTCTAAGTTTCTGCACTAAACACATATTTCTTTTACAACTGGAAAATATAAAACTGTCTAAGTACCCTCTACTTTGGAATCTCCAGGCCTTTCTTTCCACTATCTAGTTACCTTCTCCCACTTGCCAGTTAGTCATTGATATCCCTTCTCCAGAGTATTTGTATTTAAAAAGGAAACACATGAAAATATTTAAAAATTCAAAAAATATCTTCTATGGTAGACTTTTAGGCAGAGCAGATTGCTGGTAGACAGAACT